CCTCACCCACACCCACGCCTCACCCTCACCTCACCTCACCCTCACCTCACCCTCACCTCACCCACACCTACCGCGGTGGCGAGCAGAAAGTGGTACGGGAGGAACTGCATGCGGAGGACGTCGTTGAACTGGCGGATGCAGTGCAGCTCTATTCCTTTGGAGTCGTAAATGTAGAGCCACTTCTTCTGAGCCACTGCATACATGTCCTCACAGTGGAGCCACCTAGTGGCACAGTACACAGGATGAGTGCCATTAACATTTTGTCGGGTGTTTTTTTTTGTTTGTTTGACATTTGAGCGACTGACTTCACATCGTTGACCGACTCCATGACGTTCATCTCACACATCAGCTTCTTGGTCTGCCAGTCCACACAGGCCACGTGGCCCCTCCTCCCTCCCAGCAGAAGGTGACTGAAAGACAACACACACACACATATATATGCATGTATTGTCTGTGTGTGTGTACGTGTGTGTTCCTGTCATCAGAGACACGGACGCTCAGGTAAGGTCGCCAAGTTAAATCAGAGACACTGACGCTCAGGTAAGGTCGCCAAGTTAAAATACTAAAGAGCGAACTGCCACTGGGGGGCAGCGCCTCACTCTGACCAGGAATCAAACTCCCCAGCCCGGTTGAGCAGGTCCAGCTGCCCCGCGAGGTTTTGGTTTTGATAAAAACAAAAAACAAGTGTGTGATCTGCAGCTGACTGATGTCAAGAACGAACATCTGCATTCCTGTCTGATGACATCATCACTGGAGTTACTGAACTGTAACAGAGCGGTAACTGAAACCGTGACCTGACCTCTGACCTCCACTGGACCTCTGTGTGAAGGTCACTAAGACAAAACTTCATATAAAACTGGAACAAAAATGTGTTAATGATTTAACATGACGTCATCACACTGAGACCACGGGCTAACACCACGGAGGTGTTATCCTGCCCCCAAGTGGCCAAAAAACAAAGACAGTTCTATTTGAAAACTACTCCCTGAGTTCTAGTTCTGCACAATATTAGAAAAACAACAACCTCCAAACAGTACCAGAACTGTTCAACACAGACTGAGTTCAGACACAGATAAAATATCCAACAAAAACATTTTTGTTATTTTATGGTGGAATTAAAGACTGATTTTCTTGCACCGTTACAACAGTGAATTAAAAACCACTCAGTGTTTGATACCGACCGTCCGGTTCTGCCGTAATCCAGACGATACGGTCCAAACTGGGACAGCTTCAGGGAAAAGTACTGGAAGATAGAAAAGGAAATCCTCCGATTATTACCAGACTGGAAAAGAAAAACCTGAGGTCAATCCAGACGAACGACTTCTTCTTCTGTTCACCTTTGCTCCTGACGTTATGTCCACGGCCTCAGCGATGTCCTCCTGAGAGATGGTGCACGTGTCCTCGCCCTCGTCCGCTTCTAGGAACCTGATGTTTAGACACAAGGCCGGACATTCAGTCAAAGAACTCTGTCGAGGTTTTATTATTTATGAAAACCAGATTTCATTTGAAAACATAAAAAAAGGAATGAAATATTCAGACCCTGCTTCCTCTGGCAGCAGGAGGTCGAAGCGCGCCGCCTGCTTCTCCGCCATCTCAGTGGTGACCTCAGAGTGAGCCATTAACCGCTTCAGCTTGTACTGACCACTGGGGGGCTGAGAAGAACCACAGGTCGATTAGTGTGGGCGCCGTTCACGCAGTACTCCTACATACTGTGATGTACTGCGTTGTTTACTTTCTTAGACTTCTCCGCCCTCCTGAACTTCTTCAGCCTTTCCTCTGGGACGATGACCGGACCAGGAAACGGGTCGGACTTCTACAGAAAAACAACAACAACTCTGTCTTTGTACATATTTGAATAAAAATCAGCCGTGACTTTGACCGTGGTTATTGTCAACACGCCAAAGAAATACATTAAACCACATGTGACAATGAAACAAATATAAAATGGACCACAACAAAACAGATGTGAAGAAACTCCAGTCTTACCCCTGAGACAAACTTCTTTTTATGTGTTTCAACTTCTTCCACTTTTCTTTTCTTTGGCCTCCGCCTCTTCTCCTGTTGAGATTCTTTGTTCTGCTCTCCATCTTTTTCAGATTTGTTTTCTTCTTTTTCTCCCGGCTGCTGCTCCTGTGACTCCTGCCAGTATCGAGCTGAAGGCTAGTGAAGAAGAAGAAGAAGAAGAAAGTTCCCTTTAAGTCACTCACCTCCGTTCATGTACCATCAGTGCAGTTCTGGGTCAGACCTCAGGTCTGGTCGTGTTGTCATGAACACAGCACAGCTCTAACATCTGGAACAGTCTCCAGTCAGAGGCTGCAGGTCACGGTGTCAACACGGTTTATGACGTAGCTGAGAGCAACACCGGACTGAAGTTGTCGTTCTAAAAAGTTACTGCGTGGAGACAACTCAACGAATGACGATGTTTTCATAATCTCGAATGTGTATATTTATATCTTTGTGAATAAAATTAACAAGTGATTTTCGGAGACTTTTCACTTTAAAAGTAATCACGTGGAAAGAGCCGGTTTTAAACGGAGTAAATAATCGAGTGCAGACTGAAATCTGCTCGTACATCAGTCCTGCGGAATCAAAGAAACGAACAGCGACGATTCAATGCATCGTTTCGCAGTTTAACATTGAGTTGATCGATATCGTTCTTCTGAAAAGTTTTTATTTACGTTTGAATCAGTTTTTTACCTTCTTCTTTTTCCCCACGTGTGATCGTCGCACGGCGGTTCCGACGGGAGGCGCCATCTTTGTTGTGTATGTTGTTCACTTCCCGTGACGTCATAAATAAACGCCTACTTCCTGTTATCGCGTTTTCCACTATTACAAAACACTATTTCGTTGTTCAGTTTTTGTTATGTTTACACTTTGTGTTAAAATATTTTCTGATTGGCTCCTGAGTTCTTTTGACCAAATGAATAGAGGAACTCTATTCAACTGCCACGTGTTTTGTACCAGTGTTTCTTCACCTTTTTACTGTGTAGACGCGCAAACTGCTGCAGATTTCTTATTCAGGAACAGAAACACAGACCAAAACTGTAGCAAAAGGCTCTAATAAAAGCAAATAATTGAAAAAAAAATCTACAATTAAAAACCATTCAGACACACCCTTTAAAACACTGTAGCACAGGCTATATTATATTATATTATATATATATTATATATATATTATAACAAATGTTTCATTTGTTGATACCAACATAGATGATGTTGTGTGTTTGGTGGATATAAATATATTAATCACAAATATCTCCATTTCTGTTGGCTAAATAAACCGTTAGTTTTCAGTCTTTCGACTGTTTGTCTGGTCCATACACTGTATATTTGTTTGTAAAAAAAAAGTAAGAAAAGAGAAGTCACGTACGTGTGTGTGTGTGTGTGTGTGTGTGTGTGTGATCATATTCCTTATCTCCTCCCCCATCCTCTCCCCCTCTCCCCCTCCTGTAACCCTGCCCACTGCTCCTCTGTGGGTCAGAGTTTCTGTTCTTTTCATTCCGTTCTGGCTGCAGCAGAAGAACAGAAGAAGAAGAAGAAAAATCACAGAAAACACTGCAGATTGTTGGAGATTCTCAGAGGAGACGAGCTGAGTCCAGGAGCCAAGGTACGGAAAACAACTGCTCACCCGTTTCTCACCCGTTTCTCACCCGTTTCTCACCCGTTTCTTGGTCTGCTCTAGAGTCTGCTTCTGTTTTTCTGAAGTTTTTTTAAAATCCTGTTCTTTATTCTCTGCACTCACACCAACTTTAATCCCGACGGACAAAAACCCCCGAGAAAAACAACAAGCACTTCTCAGCTGCAGCTCTCTTACTTCAGGGACTGCTGCTCTGCCTTTATCTCCCTCAAGATTAGATCAAATGAAATCGACTCTGTGTGTCTGCCCCGAGCAGACGACCGATGACAGCTGTTTTTATTTCAGGACATAATGAAACTACTTTGATCAGGTAGTGTTTGTGTCAGGAAGCAGCCAGGATCCAAACGCAGTCCTGGAGAGACTGTTTCTGGTGCAGGTAGTTTACAAAGGCAAAACATCAAAAACTGACTTCTTCACCAGAGCAGGGACGAGGCACGAACTGCCAAGAACAAACTAGAAACTCTGAGCTGAGCACAGGAAACAGACTTGACCAGATAAACACAACCAACAGATACAACGACCGCCCCCCTCCCTCTCGCCCCCCCAGGACACTGTGAGTATATACAGTATATACCAAGGGCACCAGGTGACACCAGTGAGACCAATCAGAGACACAGATGACACTGATTCTTCCACACAGCAGGAACAGACTGACCTGACAGTTTGTCCTTTCTGTCCCATCAATACTGTCCATGTGTCGGTGCAGTTACAACTGTCCTTCATATAAAAACATCTCAGTAAAAGAAGTCTTTTACTCTACAGTAACTATAGTAGCTGTAGTGCTAGAACAAAGTACAACATTCCATCGTTCTTTGCTGAGACATGTCTGTGTTTCCTCTAGAACTCGTTGTTATCAGGGATGTCTGTTACGTAAGATCTGTAAGAACCGTTAATAACGCAATTCCTGGGTTTTGCCAAATGATGTAGAAATCGTTTTAATTTAATTAATTCATCATTCATTTAATTAATCTCATACTCATACAGTGGTTTGTACAGATAAATAAATAAATATCACCAGGCCTGTATTGGAATCGGAAATTAAGTGTTTGGACAATATTAGCATATCGGTTGATATCGGACATCCCTAATTGTCCTCATTATTTTGTCTCACAGATGGAATCCGACCTTCGACCAACGCTCTTCGACTTCCACGGAGTTTCCATGACCAAATACTTCACAGAAAACTGGGAAAATGTTCAAAACTTCCAGGCCAGACCAGACGACATTCTGATCGCCACTTACCCCAAGGCTGGTGAGTTGGGCTGTGGTTCTGTTCTGCTGTCATGACGCTGTAACCGGGTCACTGACCGGTTTGGACCTGTGTCCATGTCCTCCACCTCAGGGACCACCTGGATCTCCTACATCCTGGACCTGCTGTATTTTGAGCAGAAGTCTGAGCGTGAGACCATCGTCCCGATCTACGAGAGAGTTCCCTTCCTGGAGATCAGCATTCCTTCTCAGCCTAAAGGTGCCCTGCTGGTCGACCAGTGGAACTGCAGCTCAGCTCCAACTCCAACAATAAATTCACAAAACAAACTTTTCACCGTCACAAAAACCCAAATATTAAAAAAAGGTTTTATTTAACATAAATACTGAGTAATACAAACGGTGAGCACAAATATTTTCCTCTGAAACAACAAGTAAGGAAATCGAACTACTTGTCATTGTGACGCACCACTGCACCACTGCACCACTGCACACACAACCAAATGTTTTTAACCCATCACCAACAGTCAGCAACTATTTAACTATTTAATTGCACCCAGATATGACCTTTTGACCCCGTTGTTTTTCTCTCCTGAAGGTAAAGACCTTGCGGACAAACTCACCACTTCTCCTCGTCTCATCAAAACCCATTTTCCGGTCCAGTTCGTACCCAAGTCCTTCTGGGAGCAGAAGAGCAGAGTAAACTGACAGATGTCAAACTGTCAATCATTTCTGTGAGTTGAGAGGAATTCTTTTTTATTTCATTTTCTCTGTGTGTAGATGATCTGTGTCATGCGTAACGCCAAGGACCTCGCCGTGTCCTACTTCCACTTCAATCGCATGAACCATGTCCAGCCTGAAGCAGGAGACTGGAGCACTTTTCTAAACAACTACA